TGATATATAATTTAAGTTCAGTATACGTGTAAAAAAAAAAAGATCAAAAATTTAAACTATCCATAGGGTCACGGCAATTGACTAAAAGATTATTTCTGTATATGACCAGTTCCAAATTTGGCAATAATATAAAACTACTCTAATTAAAAGTACTTTATTTATAATGTTATATAATATTTTATTCACATTAATATTTTGTTTAAAGATAAATCGATTTGTAAATCATATTTAAAGTAACAAGTAACAATGGTTTGGACTGATAAAAAAAATGCCTCGCAAAGATCATAATAAAAAAACTCAAAATAAACTTAATGTGAAGCTTCGTTCAGACAATATAAATGTTAGTGAAATAAAAAAGATAGTTAAAAAATTAATTAAAGAACGTAAATCTTTCTTATCACGACAGTTGAATAGAAATGAGATCTTTGTGAAATATTATGAATTAGAAAATTCTAAGCTTAACAAATTGAAAACTCAAATTGAATCACTAATTTCCAAAGTTAACCGATTAGAAAATGATAAAATTTTATATCAAACTGAAAACAATAAACTTAAAAAAGAATTACAACGCATTGCCAGCAGATATGACGATAATAAAACAGAGCTTAAAAGATATTATAATATTATTCAAAGACCTTATTCTGTATTACAAGAATTGTTTAATTCTAATAAAATAGGTAAAATTAAGACTTTTGCAATTTAAATTTATATTTCTCTAATCTTAAATTTATTTATCAGATATTAGGCAATTAGCAGACCTATGTAATAAAATTGGAAAAATTTGTGATGAAGATTTTGTAAGTAGTTATAATATTTCAACTATATCAAATAATATAGGTAAAAAATTTTTTTTAACTAATACTATTATAAATAAACAAAATTTTCTAAATTTAATATATTACTGTAAATTAATAGTATACAATTCATTTGATAATACTCTTAATGCTTCTGAGGAAAAAATAGCTGAGATAGTTAAAGATAGTAGAAAACAATTTTCACCTTTAGTTCGATCACAATATTTTTATGATGCAAACGAGAAAGAATTTGATACTAATAAATTTAATTTTTAAAATATTTGTTAATTAACATTGCGTAAAATTATCTCTTTTGAATGAATATAAAATTTTGTAATTTTTGCAAATATTGAATAAAATAAAGTAACCCGAATAA